GTCCAACTCTTGATTTCGGCTCAGGTCCTGATCTTAGGGTTATGAGATTGGGGCCTGCATCAGGCACTGTGCTCAGCAGGGGTGAGGAGTCTGCTAGAGATTCCCTCTCCCTCTGCCCCTACCTCCACTTGTACTCACTCTCTCTCAAGTAAATAAATAAATCTTTAAAAAGAAAAGAAAATTCAGAATAGGACAATTATATGTGAAAAGTTAAGTGACACCTAAAATCAGTGGTGAAAATATACTGTTTTTAATAAATGTTGTTGGCATAACTAGATAGCCATTTGGGAAAAAGCAAAATTGGATCTGTATCTCACACTGGATATCAAAATGAAATCCAAATAATCTAGATATCTACATGTAAAAAGTGAAACCACACAAAAAAACAAAAATTCATTTCTTTACAAACTTGGAGTGAGAAAAGCCTTTCCAACTATGATTATAAATCCAGAAGCATCAAAGACAATTCTAAAATATTGACAAATTTGACTACATAAAAATAAAAAGAACTTGTTCAAAGCAAAAAAAAAAGCAAAAATCACAAAACAAAAACCTAGAAGAAAATATTTGCAATTTATACCACAAAATTATATCAGAATCACCTAACTGATAAAGAGCTCTTTAAAAAAAAATGGAAAGAGAAGCCCAAATGCCAATGGGGAGAGAATGTGAATAGACAGTTCAAAGAAAAGGAAAGTCGATATCCTTCCACTTGTGAAAAAAGGCTGACCTTCACTCCTAAGAAAAAGGCATATTAAAATTACTGAAAGAGGGCGCCTGGGTGGCTAAGCGACTGCCTTCGGCTCAGGTCATGGTCCCAGAGTCCTGGGATCGAGTCCCACATCAGGCTCCCTGCTCGGCGGGGAGCCTGCTTCTCCCCCTGACCCTCTCCCCTCTCATGCTGTTTCTCTCTCCCTCTCTCTCTCAAATAAAAAATAAATAAATAAAATAAAATTACTGAGAGATATCATTTTCCACCTATTCTGATTGTCAAAAATCCAAAAAGTTGAAAAAATAAAGTGATAAAGAAACAGGCATCCTCAGGCTTTGCTAGTGGGAGTGCAAAATAATACAACTTCTATGGAAAGGAATTTAGCAATACCTGTGTTGTGTTTTCATTCATCTTTTGACTCAGCAATTCTACTAAAGATATGCTTCCCCAATATGAAATACTGATGAATCATTACTTTTAACAGCAAAAGATTGTAAAGTAACCCATATATCAATCAGTAGAGGACTGGTTGAATAAAACAATGAGTATGATGCATTAAAAAAAAAAAATGAGGACGATTTCTGTGAACTGATACCAAGTGAGTTCCAGGAGATACTGTTAGGTGAAAAACGTAAAGTGTGGAGGATTATATGTAATATGTGTTATGAGCTGAACTGTGTCTTTCAAAGAGATGCTGAAGTCCTAACGCCGAGTACCTGCAAATGTGAACTTACTTGGAAATAGGATCTTTGCAGTTGTAGTCAAGGTAAGGTCCTACTGGATTGGGATGAACCCTAATCCAGTGACTGCTTATAAGAAGAGGAAAATTTGGGCACCTGGGTGGCTCACAAAACTGTCAAATACAGTAAATACTCTGATCGGCTGTCTAGTGCAGGACATAGTCTAAGGGCAAAAAGAACACAAAAATGGTTTTAAAATTTCACTCAGTAGGTTTACCGTTAGTGGACATATTAGAACTATAATTTGAAAGTATGCAATTGTTGCAAGAAAACGCAAACAAGTACTATGTTGATAGTGTAAGGAGCCAAGATTTTCAGTGCAAGAGAAAAGAAATGCAAATACAAAAGGGGTTAAGGAAAGGCAAACCTCTGATATTAAATTAGAATTGGTACAAAATGTAAGAAATGAAACCGTGCAATACGAATATATTTTGTAGCTCTGATCTCTGAAAGGGCCTGGACGTGAGGACCCAGGCAGCTGCCTGACCTCGTTGCAGAGGTCTGCTCTGGTTTTCTGTTGGTGGGATTCTTAATCCCTTCTCGGAACTTCCCATCGTAACAAATTGCTGAGAGTCTGCAACAGCAGGTGTCCTGCTTGTGCATGCGTTCCCTTAGAGTATCCATGCTGCTGCTGCCCCTGCGGAGACCCCTGAACTGAAGTTCTTGATGGCCTGATTTCCCCTGAGGCTGCCAGATGTTTCCAGACTACCAGTTACAGGGGCTCAGGTGGTGCTATAGCAACAGACCTCATTTTGGACAAAATGTGCGTCTATAGGGAGGTTTTACCTTCGCAATACACCCACGCTGCCTACTTCCTCCTACTTAGTGGGGAGAGGAGAGGGAGCCCATCTTCTGTCTCCACATCTGCCAATGACCTTGTGCTGCAACTCTCCAGTCAGGAAGAGCCCACGCCCCTCTCAAAGACGGACATTTCCCCTTGTGTCCTGGACTCCAGGGCACAGACACCCTCCACTCGTCTTCACCTTGAAACCCGACACATCTTCCAGCAACCGCCTCATTTGTCTGATCACCTGTATCGCAAAACCATGGAAATCCCTGTCGTTTCTATTCCTCACCTTCGACATCTCCTCAGTCCTCTCAGCGAGGCTTTGGTCCTCACCATCCCACTGCCAGGGCTCTTGCTGGGGGTGGCCGAGGCTTCCCTGTTGCCAAACCCAACCAGCATTTCTGTTTTCATCTCACTCAGCCTCCAGGCGGCAGACCACACCAGGTCTGTGATCATTCTCTCCTCCAAACACTTTTTTCTTCCATAGACTTCTGGTTTTCCTCTCTTCTCTGGGACCCCTCCTTCGGAGTCTCCCTCCTCCTCCTCCTCCTCCTCCTGTCCGTGTACCTATGTTGGAAGGCCCTAGGACTCAGGTCTCAGATTTCAATTTCTCCTCTGCCTGTGTGAGCTCATTCAGAGTTATGTAAAATATTGTCTACACGCAGGGGCACCTGGGTGGCTCAGTTGGTTAAGCATCCGACTCTTGATTTTGGCTCAGGTCACGAACTAGGGGTTATGAGATCGAGCCCCAGGTAGGGCGGGGAGTCTGCTGCAGGTTCTCTCTCCTTCTCCCTCTGCCCCTCCCCTTGCTCGAACTCTCTCTGTCTCTCTCAAATAAATAAATAAATCTTTAAAAATAAAATGAAATATTTTCTGCATGCAGATGAAGACCAAAGTCACATCTTTAGCTCCAGTCTCTCTCCTGGCTCCAGAAACATTTTATCCAGCTACCTGTTCAACTTCTCTGCCAGGATGGTCTCTGGAGTCAGGCTGCCTAGGTTTGTATCCTTCTGTGAAAAGGAGATAATTGCAGTACCTACTTCACTGGGTTACTTAGAACAGTGCGAACACAGTAAGTGCTCAGTAAATACCCTATTTGTTTACTTGTTTAAATTTCCTAGAAGTTAGAAAGAAGGAACCTGTGTATGTGTGTGTCCGCGCATGTGCACGCGTGTCTAACTCTACAATGAATTCTAAAGGCCTAGAACAGTGCCTGGCATCTAGTAGGAACTGGGTATTGATTGAATGAGCAAAGGGATGAATGAATGAATCCATTTCTTTAGAAGAGGAAAAGGCGGTGCGCCCGGGAACCAGGCGAATTGCCGCTGGTTGCCTGTGTTTTAACTACAGGAGTCATCTATGGCTTTTTTCCAACCTCCCGACACAGTTCTCTTTGAAATCTCTCTTCTTATTGACCAAGTGTGGCATTTCTGCCTCTGGTATCTGACAGTGTGGGGCATGCCCTGTTTCGTTTCTTTGAAAGTGTGAAATATAGTTAACTGTTCAAGCCCATAAATAAATGCTTTTTCACTTAGACTCAGTTTCACCAGCGCTTAGTAGGAACCTAGAAAGAAGTTCTATTACGTAAAATAGCTCTATGTATCTATAGAGCTCTATCTATATATGACACAAACAAGTTTTATTTATTTATTTATTTATTTATTTAACTGACAGAGAGAGACAGCTAGAGAAAGAACACAAGCAGGTGGAGTGGGAGAGGGAGAAACAGGCTTCCCGCCAAGCAGGGAGCCCGATGCGGGGCTCGATCCCAGGACTCTGGGATCATGACCTGAGCTAAAGGCAGCTGCTCAACCAACTGAGCCACCCAGGTGCCCCATGACACAAACAAGTTTGACAGTAAAAGGTGGGTAGGGGAGCGGAGGTGAATGAGGGGTCTAGAAAGATGTTGCTGAATAAAAGTAGACAAGTGCACGGGAAAAGTTTACACAAACCCGCAGCGGCGCAGTGAGGCTCTGGCCGATCGCCCCGCCCCGCCCCCCGGCCCCGCCCTTTTCTGTGCCCCGGCCCCGCCCTGCCCGCGCTCTGGCCCAGCTCAGAGCTCGTTCCGGCCCCGCCCCACATCTTGGCCCCGCCCCTCCCTGACCCACCCTGCACTCAGGCCCTGCCCCACATCTCGACCCCTCCAGCGCTCCCGCCTCGTCCTGAACCCCGGACTCGCTCCTTGCTCCCGCCCCGCCCAGCACTCTGGCCCTGCCTAGCATCCCCGCAGAGCCCCGCTCTGTCTCCCGACCCCGCCCCATCCCTCGGCCGCCTTGCACTTCGGCCCTCCTCCGCCCCGGCCCCGCCCCACATCTCGGCCCCGCCCCGTGCTCCGGGCCGCCCAGCCCCGCCCCACACTTCGGCCCTGCCCCACATCTTGGCCCTGCCCCTCCCTGACCCACCCTGCACACAGACATCTCCACCCCGCCTGCGCTCCCGCCTCGCCCAGAGCCCCGGCTCCGCCCAGCGTTCCGGCCCCGCTTTTTCTCCCGGCAGAGCCCCGCCCCGTCCCCCGGCCCCGCCCTACATTCCGGCAGAGCCCCGCCCTGCCCGCCCTGAACTCCGGCTCGGCCGCGGCCGGCAACTTGGCAGAGCCCCGCCCCGAGCCCCGGCCCCGCCCCGC